AGAGAGAGAGTGTGTGAGAGTGTGTGTGTGAGAGAGAGAGACCGACAGATGTGTGCATGAGACAGAATGTGTATGTGTGTGTGTCAGAGAGAGAGAGAGGGTGTGTGTGTGAGAGAGAGTATGTGTGTGTGTGAGAGAGAGACCGACAGATGTGTGCATGAGACAGAATGTGTATGTGTGTGTGTCAGAGAGAGAGAGGCAGTGATAATAAAACCTGTAAGAAGAAAGAAATGTCACCAGGAGACCTGGCTCTGGCAGCTGCAAGGAGGTGGAACATACACTGTCACTGTCTGCTGTGCCAAGACAGAAATGGAATTTGTGGTCTGTAGGAAAATTAGCACAGTACAGACTCAGTAACACAGCACAATGTTTTTAAATTACAGACTCTAACCACTAGGCACAATGTGAAATTGTCCTAAGAAAAAAGATGCTCCCAGTTCTGAGCAGCCAGCTACAGATGCAAGTGCCTGCATCACCCAGGGGATGCGCAGGGCCGGGCGTGGGTCTTTAACCAAAGCAGAGGGCAGCCTTCAAGGGTTTCTACCAACACGCTCTCCCTCAGGCTGACGAATGAGCCGACTTTCACATGGCTGGCAAAGGTAGTCTACCTTAAGGCTACAGTGCCAAGCTTTCAACACAGTCAGTTCTAAAACTGTACTAGGCATGGCTTTACCTCCTTGACAATGGAAACTGTCATAAAAATTTGCAAAATACTAATCTGATTTTAAAAGATATACAATGATTACTGAGAAGGTATTCAGAGTCATAGCTTAATATTATGAACACTAACAAGTATGAAGACAAACAGCCAATGTGTAATATCTCACCTACGTTAAAGGTGTGTGAGATCCCACCTACGTGACGGCGCATTACCAGCTCATATGCTTCTTACCTGCTCTCTTTCAGATCCAAGTCATCAAACATCTGGATGAGAGAGACAGCAACTTTATACATGTCCTTCGTCATCACTGGCTCCTTCAGGATGTGAGGTGAAAGCTGGAAACAGGAGAAGTAAAAAGTTGGAACTCCAAACTAGGACTTCACAGGGGACCTGGGCTGGAAGGGCTGACCCCTGCAGTATGTCGCAGTAGTAAGTGCCCCAAACAGAAGCTGTACGGCTCCCCAGCAGCAGCACGCTCACCACACGCCCAGCACCATCACAGGCACCCTCCGCACACAGGTCAGCCAGTGGAGCAAGGACAGGACCAGGGCACCCACCCACAGACACAGACAAGACACAGCTAGCAGGGACTGTGACCCTGAAGACATGGGCTAAGCTGCGCCCACCGTGAAGGGAGCCCACGTCCCCACCTTGGAGCCCTAAGACGGAAACACGATGACGTAGACACCCAAACCAAAACTAAACCCGCTGCAGCCAACTGAGTGTGGAAATCGAAAGCACCATCAAGGAAGGAACAGCACACAGGTGTCTGACTATTTACAGTAAAGCACATCACTGCATGAGCCGTCTATCTATCAAGGAGTTCAAACTGACTTTTAAATGTTCACTGGAGCTCGGAAACAGATTAAAAACTGTCTCCAGGCACCTCGCAGAACCCTGAGCCCAATGCACAGCTACAAACTACGGCAACTCAGACCTCCTGGTCTGAGCCAACGGCCTCAAGGACCTGAGTCAGGTCGGACCTCCGGTCAGAACTAAAGGACTCACAGAACCATGTAGGCATCACTCTACAATACCCAGCACAACAGCGATGTCCTAAATTCCACAAAATCTATTTTAGCCAAAATGGTTTTTTTTTTCCACCAAGCATAAAAAGGCTTTACTGTTTAATGAATACTTTTCCTTGTCAACTGCCACAGGCAGGACATTGCATTTCACTCTGTGAGGGACACACAGGAAAAGCCCCCAGGGGACCAACAGCTAGAAATGCTATTTTCCTTTTCAACTTTTACTTAACCCAAAGTCAGCCAGCTAGTATTGCCAAAGACCCACTACTCACCACCATGACAATTCTAGTGATAAGGCATTTTTTTTAAACTGTGATTTGGACGGAAGTTTACAAATTAACTCATTTTCCATACAGCAGTTCATACACATTTTGTTTCATGGCATTGACTGCAATCCCCACAGTGTAACAGCTCTCCTCCCATTTCCTCCCTGCAATCCCCACAGTGTAACAGCTCTCCTCCCATTTCCTCCCTGCGGCCGCCCTTTCCCTGTGTCCGCCCTTTCCCTGTGTCCTTCTTTCCTCTGCATTCCTGCCTCCCTGCCTTTCTCCCTGAGCAATGCTGCCCTTCTGGTCTCCCGTGGTTGGCTGTTCTAAGGAGTGCATCTCCCTGGTGCACGTGTTCAGCTCGTAGGCCTGTGTGCTGTTTGGCTGGAAGCCACGGGAGTAAGTTCATTTCCAGGCCTGAAGGGTGACTCAGGGCAATAGTCTTGGGGTCTCACCAGGCTCTATCAGACCAGTCAACCTGGTCTTTTTTATGGACAAAATTGCTTTAATTTAATCAATAATTTTAACAAAGCATTCCTAATAAAGAACTCTGATGGCGCAGTGCCAAAGGCATGTGACTGCTAACCAGAAGGCTGGTGATTCAAACCCACGAGCCACTCCTCAGAAGGAAGACTGCGCAATCTACTTCTGTCGAGATACCTCCTTGGAAACCCAAGGAGCGGTCGCTATGAGTTGGAATCTGCTTGACAGCAGTGAGTTTGGTTGGTTGGTTGGTTGGTTTTTTACCTTAAATAATTTTCTACTTTATCCAAACAATAGCTGGTATTTAGCATAACACAACTGTACACAAGGAAACAAACAAACAAAAAAAAAAACGGGTGCTGTTCACAAAACTCAACGGTGGCATCCAGACCCATCTAGAATCATATTCCTACACACCAACCAACCATGGAGAAAGCCTGTCATCATTTCACAAGTAATCTCACGGAGTTCTGAGACCCCAAGCCCAGTGAAGACTTCCTGCACAGGCTAAGATACCAGATCTATACCGCTCCACACCCTCCAGGATGGCTATTATCAGGGAAAAAATAACAGAAAACAGCAAATACTGGAAAGGGTGTGGAGAACTGGAACCCTCATCCGTTGTTGGAGACTGTAAAATGGAGCAGCCGCTGTGAAAAAGTTCAGTGGTTTCTCGAAAAGTTAAGCCCAGAACTGCCTTCTGACCTTCAGCAGTTCTGCTCCCAGGTACATGCCCACCTGCCAGCAAGGACTCACCCAGACACCTGGGCTCCAGTGCTCACCATCATTACTCACAGTCAGTAGGTGGAAACAACCAAGTGCCCACCAGCCAATGATGGGAACACAATGTGGTCCACACACAGACTGCAGTGACCACCAGCGGCTCCCCTCCAATGCCACCAGATTTGTCTAAGAGTGTCTTCTTATACCCAGTGAAGCTCACTGTGGTGGACACTACTGTTTACTCAACATCACAAATGTTTTCCATAAAAGTCAAATTCCCGCGCACAGGCAGCGCCCATCAGAATTACGTGTGCACATACACTTTGACCCAGTAATTCCACTTGCAGAAATTTACATTCTAGGAAGGCACAGACCACACAGTGGCTCTCAGGGAGGTGGAGAGCAGCATTTTACTCCCCAGGGGTCTCATGAGAATGTCTGGAGACGCTTTTGGTTGTCACAATGGCAACAGAGGGAGACTGTATCTAGTGGGCGGAGGCCAGGGGAGCTGCTAAGCCCCCGTGATGCACAGGACAGCCCCTACACCACAGGGAATCTCCTGGACCCAAAGGTCCATAGTGCCAATGCTGGGAAACCCTGGCCTGCAAGACAGACTTGCACATGAACAAAATGACATGTGTGAAAGGTTATGCCCTGCAGCACTACTTTTAATAAGGAAAGACAAGAAATGTAGGAGATGAGTTCATGAAATACTGGTAGGTGTGGCTACAGAAAGGAACACTACCTTAAAAAGAGAGTACAGAAACCACATAGTGATTCAGCAAGACATGGAAACGCAAGTGAGGAAAGCAAGGTGGGCCTAGAACATGTGTGAAAAGAAGACACCACATGTTCATATTTGCCAGGATAGGCAAAACAGTATTCACGAGAAGTTACTCACAGTGGTTTTCTCTGGTTGGTCAGGGAGCTGGGTGGACAGGACAGGAGAGGACACGTGAACATAACACGCACTTACTGAACAAGAAGCAAGCCATTCCAACTGTCAGGGATGGAACTATGTCCCCAAAAAATACGTGCTGTAAATCCCAGCCTCCATGCCTGTGGTTATAATCCCATTTAGCACTGGGTTGTCTTCATCATGTAATGCACCACGCTAAGTTAAGTGTGGACTACATCTTCAGTCAATGTCTTCTGAGACATAAAAGCATTGATCAAATAAGCAGGAGCGAGCAGAGATGGGGAAAGAGAGATGCCAAGCCACACAGGGATCTCAAGGAAGCAAGAAAGCACCTTGCAAGACCAGGACCTTCTCCCAGAGTCGACAAGAGATAGACCTTTCTCAGAGTGGCACCCTCAGCTCTGACTTCCGCCTCCTAAAACTGTGAGAAAATAACTGTGTCTGCTAAAGCACCGCCCCCACCCGTGGTGTTTCTGCGCAGCAGCACTGGGAGATGGAGGCACCAGCATACCTGTCTGTGGTCGATGTGCACCAGGTCATCGAGGTAGTACTCCTCAATCGCGTGCGGCTTGCCTTCCACCTCAAAAACGTGTGCAGGTTTCATCTTGTTTTGAACGGGGACGGCAAAGTAGTCTGCAAACTCTTGACAGTTGATGGTGGCTGACATCAGGATGACCTGCAGAGTACCAAGAGCCACTAAATGAATAAAACCAACCAACTCAGGACAGGGGATGGCAGGGGACATCAGGATGGCCTCTAGAGTATACTACCAAGAGCTACTAAATAAACAGAACTAACCAACTGCTCCAACAATTTATTTTATGAAGATCAGCACCAGGTTGGTCCCTCTGAGGCAGGGGTTAAACATGTCCCAAATGTCTACCTTTTCCAAACTGCTGTGCCTCTCCATCATCTCCCCATCAACTCCTCCTCCTCCCCTCAGTACTCTCTCTCCTGTTTTCGTGTTCCGCATGTCACCGTAAAGTCTCAAGAATTCACAAACTGCCAAAGAAATGGCACATGTGACGGTGGAGGCTGGCAAGTCCCAAATCCCTGGGTCAGGAGTGGTCTGGAGGAGTCTCCTCACTCGCACGGTTGCAGGGGCTGATGAAACCACATGAGCAGTTGTTCCACAACCTACTTTGGTGAGTAGAGACTGGGGCTTAAAAGCTTTCAAGCTGCCATCTAAAATGCAGCTAATGGTCTCTTCTCGTCGGAAGTGAAGATGTATGAAGAAAACCAAGGGCATTTGGAAGCAATCAGACCTAGGACATGATAGACCTTGAGACCAGAAGAACCAGATGGTGCCTGGCTACAAATGCCAATTACTCAAGAAAGGATCAAAACTGGAGATCCTGGATAGAGTTGGATGGAGATCCTAGACAGGAAAAATGTGGAACAAAATCCGAAAACACAATAATGACTAGAATTACTGGTCGGATGGAGACTGGTAGGACCCCCAAGACTATGGCCCTGGGATACACTTTGGGCCTGGGATAAAACTCACTCCCAAGGGCTGGCTCTCAGCCCAAAAGCAGTAAGAATAACATGCAGAACACTGAACCCAGGGCGATGCACCCACCTACTCTATGGAGATACACCCCTTGGAGAACCAGCCATGGAGCACTAGAGGGGCAGCATTCACATGGAGGAAAAGCTGGACAGACAGGAGTCCATAACTAAGAAGGGCACAGGGCTGGGGGCTCCCCGGGAAGGGAGAGGAGGAGACTGCGTTAGTGTTGGGGAAGGTAACTGGGGAGTGAAACCAAATGTACATGAACTGCTGAATGTAACACAAATTCTGCTCTGTAAACTTGCACCTAAATCAAAATAATTAAAAAAAAAATAAAAATGCTGCCTCAAGTCTGAAGAACCGGGGCTGAGATGACGGCGAACCAGATGCAGGATCCAGAGCAGAGAGGGAACCTTCCCAGAACATTCCCGAGGGATCCAAGGGGTCAGACCCTCCAGCAAGGTGGGACTCAAGACACATCCCATACTAAGCAGGCTGAGAGGCTAGGCTTTGTAACACATCACAAAGTGGAGGATGATGGCTATAAGGGCCACAGGAACCAATTTCCTGCCCTGCAGGCCACCCTTGGGTCTTCCAGCCATTAGCCCTTTCACACCTGAAGGCTTAACCTGCCCCTCCCAACCACTTTACCAGTCCCAAAGTCACAAGTCCTTCAGTAGGGCAGAGTCCCAAGGTGAGGTTACTCAGGCTCCAGCCAGTCAGGTTTGCTGCAGGTGTCTATCTGACACTCCAGAAGTCTGTCTCACCTTCCACCCTTTCTGGCCCCTGATACAATCTAATTGAGAAGACCATCCCCTGGCTCTGAGTCTCTCTTTAAGCATCAGCATGATGCTGGATTTCCCCCGCTGCATACCCCATTTACTCGTTCCTTTACCTTCAGCTATTATTTCTTCTTCCTTCCATTTGTCATTTATTTTTTCCTAAACTTTCCCACCTTGGGAAAAGACATCAGGTTCAGCCACTGTGCCAGTCCAGATTGTTGGCAGCAAGACCAGTCTACCAAGTGCTTCCCCCTCAGTCTGCTGCCATTCACGTTGGGTAGGATCACACAGGTACACCAGTGGGCAATGCCAACCTCTGCGGAGTACGGGAGTACTCACTGCCAATCCCAATTTTGCCAGATAGGAAAAATATAATCTATTCCATCAGGCGTGTGGGAATTCTGGCATACAGGCTCAGATTGTGACGGCAGTACACTGGGCTCCTGTGTCCAGAAGCCCCAAGAAGGTCTCTTCCCCACCCCGGGCCATTTTACCCACACACGTGCACGTGCCCCAAGCTAGACCAGCCCATCTGTCCTCATCTTCATCAACGAGACGCACCTCTGTTTCAACTGGTCCCAGGTGGGACTTCCCATCATTAAATTCCTTCTGATTAGATGAATGGAAGGGACTTATTTAGGCCTCTTTAAGGTCAGGGGACCAGCAGGAGTTTCCACTGGTCCATCCAACCTCCTGTAGCACTGTGTTTGCACGTTAGTCACAAGTCCATCAGCATCCACTATGTTCATACCATTCCTTAATAACCCTCAAAAAATCCCCAACCTGCTGGGGTAACTTCCTTCCCTATCGCCTCTTCGCATTCTCCTATGAATCATCTTATGTAGGTTGCATGCATCTGTAAAACCTGTGCAGGGAAGTTGTGCCAAGAGACCTGTCATGGCTTCTTGGACTGTTGCTTGGTTTTTTAGTAGCAAAGTTACATGGGGTGCCTATGTAGAAGGGGCCGCCTGGCCCACCCCATCCGCCATGACCCGTGTAAGGGGCATCCTCATTGGGTGGATATCCTGATCACCATAAAACCATTCCAGCATGGCTGCTTCCTCTGGAGTGTTCCAGGACGGGTATTTAGAGGGCGAGAGGGGCAGTTATCTCTTCTTAGGGTAAACAAACCTCACTGCCAATTTTATCCAGTCAGCAAGCTGGCTGTCCCCTCTGGGTTAACCTGCTGTGTAACTGGATCTTAGATCATCATTTGTGACTGTCCACAGTGAGTTATGGGTCTTCCATCAACCTATACATCCTCTTCCATTCTGCACCACTCAAAACTAAAGACACTGCCCTAAATTAGCGGCTCTGACAAGCTGTTTCATCGCTGCCATCAGCCCTTCCACCTCCCCTCAGTACTCTCCCTCCTGTCTCCTTCGTGTGTTGGTAGGCACCGTCAAGTCAGCTCTGACTCACGGCGACCCCATGTGTGTCAGAACAAACAGCTGTGCAGCACCCCAGCCAAAGAGGACCACACAGCGGATGAGAACACCCGTTCACCTGCTCCCCAGCAAACTCTGGGCCATCACACGTGATGGTGAATTCTAGGCATCTGTCAGGATGAAGAAGAAGAAAACTAAATAAAAAATCCCAGCACAAAATCCTTCTGTTACTCACAAAATGAGATTTACCTTCACAAAACGTGAATTTGTTCTCAAAAGCTTGCGGACCACCAGCAGCAAGAAATCCATTTCTTCGGTTCGTTCATGTACCTGAAGGTTAAGGAGAGGGCGTGAGGGGCAGGCAGTGCTGGCTGAGCAGAGGAGGGGTCTCTAATGGGGACACTCCAGCTCTGACTCAAGGCAGCTGTCACTCCTGGTGACCAGGAAGCCGAGCTCGGCCTGCAGACCAGACCAGACACCAGCAAGGCCACGTAGGGTTTTCTGGGGCCACTCGTCACTTCTTTGGGGCCCTAGTGGCGTGCTGGACAGAGTGATGTTTAGCATCTTTGGCCCTTCCCACTTCATGCCAATAATGCACTGGCATTATTACTTGGTGACAACCAAAATTATCTCCACTGACTGGTGCCCAGCACAGAAAGCTACCAGACCGGCCTCCTCAGAGCGACACCGAGCCACCACAGCTCTCTGGCACAGCCCGACACCACACTGCTAAGTTAGCTAATAAGCCATATGTCACTCCAACACTGACGGGAGCAATGGGTCCTGCCTGACAGGACACACTCAGAGAATGCAGGAATTGTTCACAAGGCCTGCTTAGGCCTCAAAAGCTGGCCCAGCAAACACAGGCACCAGGCGAGGACCCAAGGCCAACAGCGAGGACTTCCACAGCAACAACCTGCACAGGCACCCAAGACATCAGTGGCTTCACGGCCCTTTTCAGATGGAGCCCGTGGATCTGAGCTAACCCAGGACCCTCAGTCCTTCCATCGCCACCGTGCCCAGAAACGGCTCACAGCAAAGGGTGAGGGCACGCAAGCCAGCTGAGACCAGAAAGTCTCCTGCTTTGTCAAGAGATCTCAGCAGATCAAACCCAAACTCCACTCCAAATCCTGCACCACACACACACAGGGCCAGAATTCCACTCTGGAGTCTCTCTCCCCCGCAGTGGCAAGGTCAGCTCCTAAACCAGAGCGGGGTCCAAAGATCCACTCTCCACCTTCTCTGCCCCACTTCCCCTGAACCCACGTGTTGAAAAGTGCAGAGCACGGAGGAAAATCAACCCCTGCAAGGTCCTGAACGCTCACGTCACAAGGGCTCAAGTCCTGCCACTCTCTGCAAATGGATTCCATCTCATTCCAGCAGCAAACTCCAGGACCCTCCGCGACGCCAACACCAGCGCACAGGATCACACTGGCAACATCAAGCACTGTGCTCTTGTAAGGACCGCACAGGACAAGAAACAACAGCCATCACCAGTGCTTCTAGTCAGCCACCCCCACACAGGGCGCTCAACCAGCCCCGACCTCACAGGCTGAGGTCTCCTGTCCAGTCTCAGGGGCGCCCTTGGTCCCCTGCGACCCTCAAGGAACCCCTCAGCGCTCCCCTGCAGTGACCCCTCCACAGCACAGACACACACAAAGCAGGAGGCATCTGCCTCCCCCACATTCCTGCGAGCAGAAAGGATGACCCACTCATCTTTATAACCTCGGCACCTGACAAGGTGTCCTTCCCGTAGCAGGTTCTCGGTGAACATTGCCTGGACGCAGGGCCTGCCTGCCGCTTGTTCATACTCATTCTCAAGTGCTGAAGAGTTACAGACTTCGCCAGCACCCCGTTTTAGGGTGCTGGCCATCCTCGACTTTTGCTCTTCTCCTTCTTCTGAAGTTCCAAGCACCCCATACAAAGCAAAAACCAAACCCACTGCCATGGAGCCGATTCATAAAAATGCTGCTTGCAAACACCAAACTCCAGGTATTCAAATCGGTCCATTCACTAAGCAACACTCACCAGAGTACCTACCTGGTCTGGTGTTGGCGATGCTGTGGCTGAATGGGGCGCCACTGGGACAGACAGACAGCTCCCCGAGGACAACCAGTGCCATGAGGGCCAGTTCCCACTGAGAGGAGACTATGTTTGTCAAACATCATGGCCTGGCTTCAGGAAGAATGCAGTCAGTGAGGGGCGTCCCTCACGTCTACATGTACCAAAGCAGCCACAGAGAAACTAAGTGTGGGCGCTAACGTACAGGCTCCGGTGCAAGGTGATGGGCATGAGCCTGGCAGCACCGTCTGGAGCCCAAGGACTGAACATCTTTAAGCTTGAGCTTCCTCACGTGAGAGTCACAAAGAACCATGTAACACCTTAACCACTTTGCAGAGGCCAGTATCTGGTCACTGTCCCTTCCCTACTCTCAACATCTCACAGTCATTTACAACCAGGAACTGTACGAAAGATTACATGCGCACTAACCCAGGTTTACCTGGGGCACATCCTGCCGGTACCATTAACGACCACACACACAACAACGGGGAGAAGGGGGAGCAGCAAGCGGGCTCTTAAAAGCCAGCGAGTAGACATCTACGGTGCAACCATCAGTCTCTCTCCATCCGAAGCAAAGAGTGAAAAAAATCAAGACACATGGAAACAAATGGTCTGAAGGCCCAGCGGGCCACACGGACCTCCGCTTCCTCGACCCAGAGACCAGAACTGGATGGTGCCTAGCTACTACTACCAACCGCTCTGAAAGGGATCACATGAGATAGGCCTGGGGAGAGTGGGAGAAAAATGTGGAACGAAACTCATAACCATAAAAAAGACCAGGCTTACTGGTCTGTAGAGACTGGTGGAACCCCTGAGACTGTGGCCCTTAGTGACCCCTGAAGCCTGGAAATGAACTCACCCCTGTGGCTCAACTTTCAGCCAGATGACAGCCAGGCCAGCAAGGGGAACAATACACATCAGAACAACCCACCACAGGTCAAAAGGGCAGCATCTGCCCAGGAAGAGACCTCAGAGTGCGGGAAGGGACAGGAAACAAGGACGACCAGCAAAGAGAGGCACAGAAGTGGGAGGAGTGAAGCACTGTGCGGACCGCACTCAGCGTCTTTAATCAAAAGACGGGAAAACCAGGCTGCTCTCTGAACGGCAGTTTACCCACATCACAGAACGTTAAAGAGAGAGTGAGCACATGAGAGAGTGTGAGCTTCAGCCTAGATGGGCCACAATGGGTTTGATTTCAGACTCCATTAAGCACCCAGCCCCACTGCAGTCCTCCTACAAATCCTGTCATTTGTTGATGCTTCGAAGTCCTCCAGAAATAAGCAAGGCTTCTCAAGGCAGGCTCACTAACAGGGTCTAAACTCAAGAGGTGGGAAGAGGCACAGCCAAACCTTTCAGGAAAGTCAGTAAAACACAAAGCTGACCTCACCGTCACCCCAAGGCATTTTGTTCAAAATATACACAAAATCAGTCCAATCCTCCATGCTCACTGAGAAAAGTCCAGAAAGGGAGAAGAAGGGAAGAACCAAGAGAACAGGCTAACAGAGGCCCAAAGAAAGGAGGCACAACACCTCATCAGGCTTTTTTTTAAAAAAGAGTAAACAGACTTACAACTTATAAATGATATTTTTAAAGCTATTTCCCCCTGATCTGCACTAAATGGAAACAGTGCTGTGTACAATTAAAGCCTTTTTCACCATCTGCTTGTGGGTAACGCCCTAAATCTGGGGTCAGCAGACCATCTCTGCAAAGTCCAGACTGACAGAGCAGCCAGGCTCTGTCACAACTGGAGTCTGCCATTATAATGCAAAAGCGGCCCTAAGTCCTACATAAACGAATGGCGGCGGAAGCTGGGCGCCAATAAAACTTTATTTACAAAAGCAGGTGCTCTGGCCCACAACCGGGCTCTGCAGAATGGATCTCCTGCAGCCTTTGGCACTCCCACCAGGGCTCTAGAAGCAAGAGCGCAGAATGAAGAGAGACACCCAGCATCCGTGAGCAGAACACGCAGCGTGGGCCCTGCTCCTTCAGAGCTCTGCAGGCGTCTGCACGGTGTCCCCAGGAAGGACGGCCCAGACACAGGACTCACCTCATCAATGAAGATGTGTGTGAACTCCATCAAACTCTTGGCACTAACTAGTTTCTGAAGCAGGACCCCCGTCGTCACATAAATTAACTTGGTGTCTTCTGTTGCGATTTTCTCTAGCCCCACCTACAAGAGTGGGAAGACAAAGGGCAGGCAGGGCATTTCCAGGTGGAAACGGCTCCTGTTTACCACCAACCAAAGCCACTGATCCACTGATAACAGATGCAAGAAAGGGAGTGGAAACTACTGTGCGTCACAGAGAACACAGTGCCCAGAGGGAAGGTGCTTCCTCTCTTCACGGGGGGCGAGGAGAGGCCTGGGCCTATCCAGTCACACGGCCTTCACCACTTTCATGTACAACAGTGTACTGCACTGCAAGGATATCATCCAAAGGCTAAAAGCCACGGGCCTGAGAAGACTCACTTCCTTCCTGCTCGACTGGGAAAGAAACAGAAGTTAGTTCCAAAAATTGTCTCCCACCATGTTTTTCAACTCTGCTGGAGTTCTGCTCTATGGACAGTTGGTTTCATTTTAATTTCTAGCTGGAAACAGCACAGACCGTCATCAGCTTCCAACACATACATCAAGTCAACCCAGAGGGAGGGCTGCCCACCCCCGGCCTCACCTGGTAGCCCACCATGCCGCCCAGAGTCCAGGAGCGCTCTTTACTGATCCACCTGGCAATGCTGCTGGCCCCAATCCTCCGGGGCTGCGTCACCACGATGTTGCAGTGCACGGAGCGCTCGATGCAGTAATCCAGGAGGTACTGCGGGAGCCC